AAGCAGTGGTATCAACGCAGAGTACTGCATGCAGCAGCGCCTGGATCGGCTTGAACAACGCGACGCGACGCCTGCGCCTGCGTTGGCGCAGATGCCGGCAGCGCCTGTAGCGGCTGGTGCTGCAACGGCGACTGCGACTGATGTAGTCCATCGCACCCAGGTGCCGGGTGTGGCACAGCCGGTGCTGCCGCAACGCGACTCCGTGGCTGACCCGTCCACCGCCGCATCGCGTCCGGACAGCGCCGCAGGCCCGACCGACCCCGATCTGAAAGGCTTCTTCGCCATTCCCGGGACCGACACGGTGATCCGCATCGGGGGCTACGCCAAGCTGGATGCCATCGCCGACTCGCGCGCGGCGGGTGATGAGGATCAATTCATTCCGTCATCCATGCCGGTGGGTGGCAGCCATCGTGATGTCTCCAACTTCAACATCCACGCCAAGCAGACCCGCTTCAGTTTCGAGGCGCGGCGGCCGACCACGCATGGCAATCTGCGCTTCTACCTGGAAAACGACTTCTTCGGCAGCAGCGATGGCTACGAGTTCCGGCTGCGCCATGCCTATGGCCAGCTTGGCAATACCTACGCCGGCTACGGCTACTCCAGCTTCATGGACCCGGACAGCCTGCCCGACACGCTGGATTTCGCAGGGCCGGGCGGTGCCGGTTATCTGCTGGTGGCGGGCATCCACCACAGCTTCGCGATGGGCAAGGGCAACACGCTCACCGTCGCCGCTGAAGACCCGAAGACCGAACTGGCCGGGGCCACCGAGGAACGGGCCGCAGTGAACCGCCTGCCCGATGTGACGGTGACCGCGCGCATGGAGCGTGACTGGGGCCATCTGCAACTGGGTGCGGTGGCGCGCAGCCTGGCCTATGACGGCGATGGCGAGCGCGACCGGCGCATGGCCGGCGGCCTGCAGCTCAGCGGCTCGGCCTCGGTGGGCGAGCGCGACCTGTTGTTGTTTGGTGCCCTGGGTGGCCGCGGCCTAAGTCGCTACACCGCCGACCTGACCGGCTCCGGGCTGGATGCCGTGGTCGGCGCCGATGGCCGCCTGGATGCATTGGACCTGCATGGTGGCTTCGTGGGCTACACCCATTACTGGTCCGAGCTGTGGCGCTCGAACCTGATCTTCGGGCAGCTGACGCTGGAACGGAATGCGGCACTGGCCGCCGACGCGTTCCGGCAGAGCCGCTACGGCGTGTTCAACCTGATCTGGAGCCCGGCGCCGTCGTGGACGATGGGCATGGAGCTGCTGTACGGCCGCCTGGAACAGCAGGGCGGCACGCGCGGCGACACGGTCCGGGTGCAGGGCAGCCTGCAGTACAACTTCATCAAGTAAGCGCCAGCGGCCGTACGCCAGCGCAACCGTCCCCACGCCCGGTCGCACCGGGCTCATGCCAGTACAGGAGATTGTCATGGCAGAAGCAAAGAAAATCGGGGTGGTCGGAGCCACCTTTCTCGTCGCCGGCAACATGATGGGCTCGGGTGTGTTCCTGCTGCCGTCCAGCCTGGCCAAGATCGGTACCGCCTCGATCTGGGGCTGGCTGATCACCACTGCCGGCGCGTTGCTGCTGGCCTTCGTGTTCGCCAAGCTGGGCAAGCTGGCACCGAAGGCGGGTGGTCCTTATGCCTACGCGCGTGACTGGTTCGGGCCGTACATGGGCTTCCAGACCAACACCATCTACTGGTTCGCCAACTGGATCGGTAATGTCGCCATTCCGATCGCCGCGGTGGGGTACTTCAGCTACTTCTTCCCGATCCTGTCCGAACCGCTGGTGCGCTGCATCGCGGTGCTGGTGCTGGTATGGGCGCTCAGCTTCGCCAACATGATCGGCCCGGCCTTCGTCAGCCGCGTGCAGACGGTCACCACCAGCTTCGCGCTGGTGCCGATCCTGGGCATCGCCATCTTCGGCTGGTTCTTCTTCGATGCTGACATCTTCAAGGGCGCCTACAACGTGTCCGGTGAATCCAACTTCGGCGCGATCTCCAGCGCCGCGGCACTGACCCTGTGGGCCTTCATCGGCGTCGAATCGGCCTCGGTGACCGCTGGCGTGGTCGAGAACCCGGAAAAGAACGTGGCCCGCGCCACGCTGGCGGGTGTGTTCCTGGCCGCGATCGCCTATATCGCCAGCTCCTCGGTGATCATGGGCATGGTGCCCAACGGCGAGCTGCAGACCTCCGATGCCCCGTTCGCATTGGCCGCGGCCAAGGCGGTCGGTGGCTGGGGCGGTGCGCTGGTCAGCCTGTGCGCCTTCATCGGTGCTGCCGGTTCGCTGGGCGGCTGGATCCTGCTGACCGCGCAGAGCGCCAAGGCGGCGTCGGATGACGGCCTGTTCCCGAGCATCTTCAGCAAGACCAACAAGGATGACGTGCCGGTCAAGGGCGTGCTGATCGTAGCGGTGCTGATGACCCTGGCCGTGCTGGTCACCTCCACCTCGGAAACCGCGTCCGCGCAGTTCGACGTGATCACGTCAGCGGCGGTGGTGCTGACGCTGCTGCCCTACATCTACTCGTGCGTGGCGTGCTACTTCGTGGTCGAGCGTTCGCACACGCTGGTCCACACCGGAGCGTTCTGGACCCTGACCAGCCTGACCGTCGTGTACTGCCTGTGGGCGATCTACGGCTCGTCAGGAACCATCGTGCAGTACGCCTTCCTGTTCGTGCTGTTCATCACCGTGTTCTATCCCTTCTTCAGCGAGGAGCGCCGCCAGCAGCGGCAGCGCGCCCGCGAGGCCTCGGCGATCAGCGCCGGCGCCCAGCGTTCCTGAGTTAGACAAGGAGAATCAACGTGTACTTCAAGTCCCTGGACTACCCGGTCATTGTCATCGACAACGACTACGAGTCGCCGCGCATCGGTGGCATCCTGATCCGTGCGCTGGTGGAGGAGCTGCGCAGCAACGACCAGCGCGTGCTGTGCGGCCTGAACCTGGATGATGCCCGTGCCGGTGCCCGCACCTACGTGGCGGCCTCGGCGGTGCTGATCTCGATCGATGGCAGCGAAGAGGTGGACGGCGAGTTCCAGCGCCTGACCGCGTTCCTGCGTGAGCAGAGCGCGCGCCGCGCCAATCTGCCGGTGTTCCTGTACGGCGAGCGCCGCACCATCGAGAAGGTGCCGAGCAAGCTGCTCAAGTACATTCACGGTTTCATCTTCCTGTTCGAAGACACCAAGAGCTTCATCTCGCGGCAGGTGATGCGTGCGGCCGAAGACTACATGAAGAACCTGTTGCCGCCGTTCTTCAAGGCCCTGATCCACCACGCGGCCGAGTCGAACTACTCTTGGCACACGCCGGGCCATGCCGGCGGCGTGGCGTTCACCAAGTCGCCGGTCGGCCGCGCCTTCCACCAGTTCTACGGTGAGAACACCCTGCGCAGCGATCTGTCGATCTCGGTGCCGGAGCTGGGTTCGCTGCTTGACCATACCGGCCCGATCAAGGATGCCGAGAACGAGGCAGCGCGCAACTTCGGCGCCGACCATACCTTCTTCGTCACCAACGGCACCTCCACCGCCAACAAGATCGTGTGGCACGGTACGGTGGCGCGTGGCGACGTGGTGTTCGTCGATCGCAATTGCCACAAGTCGCTGCTGCACGCGCTGATCATGACCGGCGCGGTGCCGGTGTACTTCACCCCCAGCCGCAACGCGCACGGCATCATTGGCCCGATCAGCCTGGACCAGTTCACGCCCGAGTCGCTGCAGCAGCGCATCGCCGCCAATCCGCTGGCCAGCAAGGCCTACCAGGCCGGCTCCAAGCCGCGCATCGCGGTGGTCACCAACTCGACCTACGACGGCCTGTGCTACAACGCCGAGAAGATCGCCGACGAGATCGGCAGCGCGGTCGACTTCCTGCACTTCGACGAAGCCTGGTATGCCTACGCCGCGTTCCATCCGTTCTACGAGAACCATTACGGCATGGCCAAGGGCAAGCCGCGTGAGCAGGATGCGATCATCTTCACCACGCATTCGACCCATAAGCTGCTGGCCGCGTTCTCGCAGGCGTCGATGATCCACGTGCGCAATTCCGCACATCGCAACCTGGATGCCGAGCGCTTCAACGAGTCGTTCATGATGCACACCTCGACCAGCCCGCATTACGGGGTGATCGCGGCCTGTGACGTGGCCTCGAAGATGATGGAAGGTGACGCCGGCCGTTCGCTGGTGCAGGAAATGCACGACGAGGCGATCGCGTTCCGCCGCGCGATGCTGCACGTGCGCGATGACCTTGGCCGCGACGACTGGTGGTTCAGCGTGTGGCAGCCCACCAAGGTCGAGCGCAGCCTGGACAAGGGCGATACGCCGGCACCGCTGGTGGCCAAGCGCGAAGAGTGGTACCTGCAGCCGGATGCGCACTGGCACGGCTTCGAGAACCTGGTTGACGACTATGTGCTGATCGACCCGATCAAGGTGACCCTGCTGACCCCGGGGCTGGCGATGGACGGCAGCATGGGCAAGCTGGGCATCCCGGCGGCGGTGCTGAGCAAGTTCCTGTGGGGCCGCGGCATCACCGTGGAGAAGACCAACCTGTACTCGGTGCTGTTCCTGTTCTCGATGGGCATCACCAAGGGCAAGTGGAGCACGCTGGTCACCGAGCTGATGGCGTTCAAGGAGCTGTACGACCGCAACGCACCGCTGAGCCAGGCACTGCCGTCGCTGGCCGCTGACTACCCCAATGCCTATGCCGGCTGGGGCCTGCGTGACCTGTGCGATGCGCTGCACGCGTTCAACCAGGAATTCTCGGTGGCCAAGGTGATGCGCGAAATGTACGTGGACCTGCCGACCCCGGTGATGACCCCCGGCCGACGCCTACAATCACCTGGTGAAGGGCGAGATCGAGCGGGTCGACATCGAGCAGCTCAGCGGCCGCGTCGCCGCCACCATGCTGGTGCCGTACCCGCCGGGCATCCCGACCATCATGCCGGGCGAACGCTTCGGCGACAGCGACGAGCCGATCATCCAGTCGCTGCGCATCGCCCGCGAGCAGAATGCCCGTTTCCCGGGCTTCGAGTCGGACGTGCACGGGCTGATCATCGAGCACGATGGCGATGAGACGTCGTACAGGGTGGAGGTGCTGAAGGCCTGACCGGCGACGGTCGGCCCTTCGGCGAACGATGGATACCGCGCGCGAGCAACGCATCCTGAAGTTCTCGATCGGGGTGACCATCGCGGTCAGCGCGGTCGGCTTCATCGGTGGCCTGCTGGTGGGATCGCAGGCCATCCTGTTCGATGGTGTCTACAGCCTGGTCGACGTTGCCCTGACGCTGGTGTCGTTGTCGGTACTGCGGCTGGTGGCGCGGGAACAGAGCCCGCGCTTCCAGTACGGCTACTGGCACCTGGAACCGATGGTGGAGGCGCTTGGCGGGGTGATCCTTTCGTTGGCCTGCGTGTATGCGCTGGCCAACGCGGTGATTGGCCTGACCACGGGCGGGCACGAAGTGAAGTTCGGGCCTGCGCTGTGGTGGGCGGCGTTGCTGAGTGCCAGCAACCTGGCAATGGCCGCGTTCGTCGCGCAGCGTGCACGGCGCCTGCGCTCGGCGTTGCTGTGGCTGGACGTGCGTGGCTGGCTGCTGGGCGGATTGATGAGCCTGGCCGTGGTGCTGGCCTTCGTGCTGGCGCTGGTCCTGCACGGCGGCCAGTGGCACCACTGGGTGCCATACCTGGATTCGATCGTGCTGGCGTTGATCAGCCTGGCGGTACTGCCGGTGCCGGCGCGAAGCGCGTGGAAGGCCATGCGTGAGGTGCTGCAGGTGGCGCCGGATGACCTGGACCGGCGCGTGCAGCAGGTGATGCAGGCGTTCGTGGCCGAGCGCGGCTATGCCGGCTTCACCAGCCACGTGGCGAAGATGGGGCGAATGCGCTTCATCGAGATCCATGTGCTGGCCGACCCGGCGACACCGCTGGGCTCGGTGGGCCAGGTCGATGCGATGCGTGATGAGATCGCAGTACGGCTGGATGCACGTGGCAGCACGTTCTGGCTGACCATCGATTTCACTGCCGATCCGGCGTGGACGTGACGCGACGAAGGACCGCGATCGTTGCGCGTGCCGGACTACTCTGTTGCGTCGGATGTATTTGACCTCAACCGGAGTTGAGGTCGCAGACTGCTGCGCAATCCCGGTCATCCATACGAGGCCTGGGGCGCCTAGCGCAGGTAGTACTCCACCGGTACCACCAGTTCCTGCGGCGCCTTCAGTTCAGCAGGAATGGGCGGCAGTGGCTGCGCGCGGCGGAAGGTCTGCAGCGCGGCGTCGTCCAGCATCGGCTGGCTACTGGACTGCTCCAGACGCAGTGCCAGCAGCCGCCCCTCACGGTCGATGCTGGCCCTGACCCAGGCCGTGCCCTGCTGGCGTCGTGAGCGCGCGGCGGCAGGGTAGTAGCGGTACCGCTCCAGCCGCGCCATCAGGCGGGCTTCCCACTGGTCGCTGGCGGCGCCGGCCTGGAAGTCCGCAGGGGGTGCGTCTGGAGCGGGCGGCGCGGCCGTGATCGATGCCGGTGCGGGACTTGCATCGGTCGCGGCCGCAGGCGGGGCGATCGGCAGCGGCTGCCGGCCACGGCCACCGGTCTCGCTGGCCGCCAGCTCACCCTCGCGTGCTGCGGTGGGGGTGGGCGGTGGGGGCGATTTCGTCGGCTGCGATGCACGTGCCTGCTGTGCCTGGCTGGGCGTGTCGGCCTGGCGTTCCTCGATCGGTTGCGGTGGCGTGGCCGGTGCCAGCAGGCGCAGGCTGATGCGTACGTCCTGTTCCGGTGGTGGCAGTGCGGGCGGCGTGGCCACCCAGTGCACCAGCAGCAGCAAGGGCAGCAGGTGCAGGCCGATGCTGATAACAACGGCCTGCCAGTGGTGGCCACGCTCAGTCATCGCCCAGCACCCACAGCAGGTCGGCATCGCTCGCATCGACCTGTTCGCCTGGAGATGCCAGCACGATCACCAGCGCCGGGGTACCCGGTGGCAGATGGCCCGGCACGCCGGTACCGCGCAGTACATGCCAGCGCCCGGCGACCAGCAGGGCCGGGGCCGGCGCATCGGTCAGTACCTGTGCCATGCGGCGATCGCGGGCGTACTGTACGGCCAGCATCCCGTCCAGCATCGGTGCCGCATCGGCATGCTGCGCCAGCACCACCGCCGACAACCGTTGCCGAGCCGCAGCAACCGGAAATGCTACTGGTTCTGTAGAGGCCAGCAGGCGGTTGACCTCGGCGCGCGACAGGTTGCCGCCGACCAGCGCAATGCCCGCAGCCGTGGCGTCCTGCACCAGCCCGCCGTAGGCGGCCCACGGCCAGCGCGCGTCCCAGTCCAGCAGTTCCTGCAGGCGTGGGCCCTCGGCCTGGTTGCCCTTGGCCAGCCAGCGCTGTACCCGCTGCAACCGCGGTTGGCGTTCGCTGGCGATCATCTCCATCACCAGCGCCCTCTGGGGGCGCTGCTGGTGCAGTGCCTGCAGCAACCAGCGCTGGCCGGCATGGTCGCCCGCAAGGTCATGACGCTCGCCCAGCAGCAGTCGCTGCGCGCCGGCCGCACGCTGGATGAACATGGACTCGTCCAGCGGCTGGCCGCTGGCCAGGTCGATCACTTTGCCGGGCATCGGCTGTGCGCTGGCCAGGGAGGTCAGCGCAAGCAGGCACAGCGGCAGCCAACGGCGGCTAGAACGCCACATTGACGCCCATCGAGACGGTGCGGCCACGGCCGTTGCCGCGGTCAAGGATCGGGCTGAAGATGCTGTCGATCGAGGCATTGTTGTCATAGGCCTTGTTCTGCAGGTTTTCGATGTTCAGCCACAGCGTGGTGTTGGGCTGGGGCTTGAAGCTGGCGTAGAAGTCCAGCAGCACGCCGGTGCCGCCGGTCTTGCGGGTCTGGAAGAAGTCGTAGCCTTCCTCGGTGGGACCGGAATACTCGGCGCGCAGGCCGGCCTGCACGCGCTGCTGCCACCAGCGGCCGCCCACATCCAGCGTCCAGTAGCGGTCGGGCAGGGCGGTGATGTCTTCCAGGTTGACGAACTCGATGGCCGGCGCGCTGGTCTGCGAGCGGGTCCAGCTGAGGGTGGCGTGGTAGTGCTCGCTGGCGTAGTGCGCCTCCAGCTCGATGCCGCGCATGCGCACGATGCCCTGGTGGTTCATCCAGCGCGTGGTGGTACTGAAATCGTCGGCATCCAGCGTATCGGTCCAGGCATTGAGCTGCGGATCGCTATCGATCGGCACCACGAACGGCGCCACTTCCGGCGGATGCACGATCAGCAGGTACTGCGGCTTGATGTAGTCGCGGATGCGGTTGTCGAAGCGGGTGATGCGCAGCTGGGCCAGGTCGCCGTCGACCAGCAGCGAGTCGGTGCTGAGGTTGGCGCCGAACTGCAGGTTGCGCGAGCGCTCGCGGCGCAGGAACGGATTGGCGCCTACGCCGTCGGCATCGCTCATGCCCTCCAGCGGAATCTTCTCGAAGAACATTTCCTGCACCCGCGGCGGCCGCGAGGTGCGCGAGACTTCGGCGAACAGCTGCAGCCAGTCGGTCGCCTGCAGAGAAACCGCCAGGCTGGGGCTGAGTGCACGCTCGGTGCGGCGCACATCGATGTCGCCGCCGTTGATCTCCGCGCACTGGCCCGGCACCTCGGAACAGCCGGGGATATGGCCACGGATGCCGTAGCGGTCCTGGCGCAGGCCGGCGGTCAGTGCATAGATGTCGTACTGCAGTTCCAGCGTGCTGAACACGCTGTCGAGCTGGCTGCGCCCCTGCGGGTTGGCGCCGCGCAGGGTAGGCGTGTCGGCCACGAAGATGTCCGACTGGTGCTTGATGCCGGTGTTCCAGCGCGCCTGCAGCGCGCCGATGTCGAAGCGGCTGGTGTTGTCGAGGGTCCAGCTGCTCAGGCTGCTGTGGGTACGGCGGCCGATGTAGCTGGAGTCCTCCACCGGCGGGTAGAACAGCCGGGTCTTGTTGCTGGCGAAGGTCGCACGCAGGTCGACCCACGGGGAGTAGGGCGTGTAGTGGTAGCTGGCGCGCTGGTTGCGTGCGGAAATCTGCCACGGGTAGTTGTGGTAGAAGTCGTTTTCGTAACGCATGTGGCTCAGGTCGAGCCGATGCTGGTCGCTGGGCTGCAGGCGCGCTTTCAGCAGCCAGCTGCTGGGCTGCTGGCTGCCAGGGTCGGCCTTGTTGGTCTGCCCGCGTGCCGTCGCGTATTCGCCGCTGCGGCTGCTGCTGGCGGCGGCGAGCAGGCCGAACTGGCGGTCGCCACCGTCTTCGCTGTGGCGCCATGCGCCGGCGAAGGTGCGGCCACTTCCATAGCCGTTGTTGCCATGCCGGTAGCCTGCACGCAGGCCCCAGTCGCGGCCTTCGCCAAGCAGATCGTCGATGTCCAGGGTGCGGAAGTTGGCGCTGCCGGCCAGCGTACCGGCGCCATCGCCACCGGCGACCGCCCCGCGCTGCACGTCCACGCCGGCCAGCAGGAACGGATCGACGTAGGCGAACGGGCCACCCGATCCATGGCCGGCGTTGTTGCGGAAGGTCTGGGTGACACCGTCGATCATGGTGTTGACCCGGCCGGCGCCGGTCATGCCGCGGATGTTGACCTGCAGGCCGGGCTGGCTGCGCGAGTGGAAGCTGTGGGTTCCGGGCATCGAGCGCAGCAGGCTGTTGCCATCCTGGCGCTCGGCCATCGCCACCCGCTCACTGCCTACAGCGGGAGCGAAGCCATCGCGGGTGGCGGGCACGTACTGGCTGGCGCCGGTGCCTGGCGCCTGGCCATGCGCGGTGTCGCCCTGAACGCGCAGCGGCCCGGTGCGGCGGCTGCCGTCGCTGCGTTCGGCGGGCGCCGGCTCCAGGGTGGCGCGACGTGCATCGATGAAGCGTGGGCGCAGGCCACTGCCGGCCAGCAGGCGTGACAGCGCCTGTGCGTCATCGAAGTCACCGCGCAGGGCCGGTGCAGGATGGCCAGCGGGCAATGCCGCGCCGATCACCAGGTCGACGCCGGTCAGGCGGCTGTACGCATCCAGCGCGGCGGCCAGCGGCTGCGCGGGCAGATCATAGGTGCGGGTGGCCACCTGCGCGTGGGCGCTGGAGGGCAACAGCGGAACCGTGCTGGCACAGGCCAGCGACAGGGCAAGAACAAGGGGGCGGTGGCACAGCATCGAAGACTCCAGGGGCTGACGCAGAGCGTCGTCATCCTGGGTAGACGCAGCGGCAGGCCCGATGTCAGGGCGCATCAGCATGTTCCCTGCGCGGCGGCAACCAGACCTGCACGCCCGCGCCCAGGCGCAGCACGCGCACGTGCAGCTGCGCGGCCAGTTGATCGCGGTTGCTGGCTGCGCCGTCGGCACTGCCCAGCAGGGTGACCGGTTGCTGGCGCAGGCGCGCGCCGATGATCCAGGTGTGCCCGCCGTGCCAGCGGTCCAGGCCTTCGGTGACATCGGCGAGGGGGGCCGAGACCCAGTGCAGGCGTCGTTCGCGCCAGGCAAGGCCGCCGCTGTCTGCCGGCTGGGCGGCAGGCGGTGACTGTCCGTTGAAGCGTACCTGTTGCCCCTCGGCCGCCTGCACGGTCCCGCTGCCGTCCTCTACCCGGACGCGATGTTCGGTGACCGTGACCCTGCTGCTGTTGCCCTGCACGACGAGGTCGAAGGCAGTACCCAGCGCAGTGACCGTGCCATGCGGCGTATGCACCTGGAACGGCCGGCGGGCGTCGGCAGCGACCTTGAACCAGGCCTGGCCGCGTTGCAGCTGCAACTGGCGATGTTGCCCATCAACGCGCACATGCACTTCGCTGCCTGGTGACAGCAGGACATGCGAACCGTCCGGCAGCGCTTCGTCGCGGATTTCGCCAGCGGCGGTGCGCAGCACCTGCGTGGCCGGCGGCGGGGCAGGGCGGCCATACAGTCCAAGCGCGCACAGCAGCAGCACCGCAATACCGGCTTCACCCAGGTGGCGGCGGCGCCGGCGTTGCTGCTGGCGCTGAAGGCTGGGGGTGGCGGCACCGGCCTGCCACAGCTGCTGCAGGTGCTGGTACTGCAGGGCATGGCGCGGGTCGGCCTGGCACCATTGGTTGAACGCGTTCTCATCGCGTTCGCCGTCGTGCCCATCCAGCCACCAGCGGGCGGCTTCGCGTGCGATGGTGTCCTGGCTCATGGGCCAGGCACCTGCTGCAGGGCGACCAGGGCGCGCAGCAGATGGCCGTGCGCGGTCTGCCGGCTGATGCCGAGCTGGCGCCCGATCTCGGCCAGGGCCATCTGCTCGACACGGGCGAGCAGGAATACCTGGCGCGAGCGCGGTGGCAGCGCGGCGATGATCGCATCGAGATGACGCAGCTGTTCGGCGTCGAGCAGGCGCTGGTCCGGCAGTGGTGCGGGATCGGCGATGGCATGCAGCTGGGTGTCATCCAGCGCCTCTTCGCGCCGGCGCTGGCGCTGCCGGTAGTGGTCGGCGATCAGGTTGTGGGCAACGCGATACAGATAGGCGCGGCCATTGTTCAGCAGGCCGCTGGCGGCGACCTTGACGATACGCAGCCAGGTTTCCTGGACGACGTCATCGGCATCGCAGCGTTGCGGGAGTTTGCGACGGACATGGGCGTGCAGCGGCCGGTAATGGGCCGCGCACAGCTGCGCGACATCCGTCGGTTCGACAGGCGTGGACACGGGGCGGGCGACAACTGGGAAAGGGAACAGCCCGCGGCGGCAAGGGCAGCGGCAGCACCTTACAGCAAAAGAGAATCATTTGCATCCATGGGTGGCCATCAGCCAGTGATGGACCCGCCAGCCGTTGGCCGGCATGCCCCCAAACGGGTCAGAGGTCGCGGTACTGGATCTGCGCGGCGAGCACGCGCAGGCCGTCAGCGTTGCTGGACAGGATGCGCTCCTCGCCGATACCTTTCTGCCGCTTCAGCTGGAAGCCCTGTTCGCTGGGCAGCCGTGCGGCGATGACGTCCATGCGCAGCAGGGCGTCGGGGCCGCTGCAGTCGAAGTGGCTCCAGTAGGCGCCATCGCGGTAGACCTGCAACCGGTAATTCATCGTGGCATCTCCGGCAGGTCCTGCAGCCAGTGGTCGAACATCGCGGTGGCGGCGGCTGCCAGCGGGGCACCATAGCGGCGCGCCTGCGCGCGCAGGTCGTTCGGGTCGATGCCGGCCTGGGCCAGTTCCAGGGTGTGGCCGATCAGCCAGCGTTCGAACTGGCGCGCGTCCAGCTCCGGATGGCATTGCAGGCCCAGTGCGTGCTGACCGATGGCAAATGCCTGGTGGCGGCAGGCGGGCGTGCTGGCCAGGCGGCGTGCGCCGGGCGGGAGTTCGAAGCCCTCACCGTGCCAATGCAGTACCGGAATGCCCTGCAGGGCCTGCAGGGGCGAGCGCTGGCCGTCATCGGTGAGCAGCAGTGGCGCGAAACCGATCTCCTTGCCGCCACTGGCAACGACGCTGGCGCCGAGCGCGCGCGCCATCAGCTGCGCGCCGAGGCAGATGCCCAGGGTTGGCCGCTGCTGCTGCAGGCGACGCTGCAGCAGGGCGATGCTGTCGGTGACGAAGGGATAGGTTTCTGTGTCGTTGGCACTGATCGGGCCACCCAGCACGACCAGCAGTTCGGCCGCTTCGGCATCGTCGAGCGGATCGACACCGGCCTGCAGCACCTTCAGCTGCCAGCCCTGCGCCAGCAGCAGCGGTTTCAGGGTGCCGAGATCCTCGAAGGCAACGTGCTGCAGGACCACCGCGTGCTTCATGCCGGTGCTCCGCTGGTGGGCCAGTAGAAACTGTCCGGGGTGGCGCGGGCGCCGAAGATGGCCTGTCCGACGCGGACCACGGTGGCGCCTTCCTCGATGGCCACTTCGAAGTCGCCGGACATGCCCATCGACAGCTGCGACAGGTCGAGACCGGCGGGCGCATAGCACTGCAGCTGGTCGCGCAGTTCGCGCAGGCGCACGAAGCAGGCGCGCACCCGCTCGACCTCCGGGGTGAACACTGCCAGGGTCATCAGGCCGCGCGCGCGCAGACGATCGAAGGCGGGCAGCTGCTGTACGAAGTCGCCGACCGCGTCGGGTTCGAGTCCGTACTTGCTGGGTTCAGCCGAGGTGTTGACCTGTACGAATACATCCAGCGTGCGGTCTTCCAGCTGCAGGCGCTGCTGCAGGGCCTCGGCCACGCGCAGGCTGTCCAGCGCCTGGAACTCGCTGGCGAAGCGCGCCACGTAGCGCGCCTTGTTGGTCTGCAGGTGGCCGATCACCGACCAGTGCACGCCCAGGTCGGCCATGGCCTCGGCCTTGCGCTGTGCCTCCTGGACCTTGTTCTCGCCCAGTTCGTGGCAACCAGCGGCCACGGCCATGCGGATGCGGGCGTCATCGACGGTCTTGCTGACCGGCAGCAGGCGCACGCTGGCCGGATCACGGCCAGCGCGGGCGCAGGCGTCGGCGATGCGCTGGCGCACGGTGGCCAGGTTGGCGGCGATCTGTTCAACAGACTGGGCCATGGGCCAGTCGGCGGCAGCAAGGGGCATGCGGGCACCTCCAATGCGGAATGGCCAGGGTGGGATACACTGGCACAGGACAAGAGTTATTTTGGCATAGGACAAAATGAAAATCACCGGGCATAGCGCCGAGTCGATCTTCGACAGCATCCGCGACGGCATCGGCAAGGGCCGCCTGCCGGCCGGCAGCGTGCTGCCGCCGGTGCGTGAGCTGGCCGAGCAGCTGGGGGTGAACCGCAACACCGTGGCCGCAGCCTACAAGCGGCTGGACGCGGCGGGCCTGGCCAGCACTGCCGGCCGTCGCGGCACGGTGGTGCGCGGCTTGCCGTCGGCAATGGCACGCGAAGGAAGCACGCCGGGAGTGGCCCTGCATGACCTGGCCAGTGGCAACCCGGACCCGCGCCTGCTGCCGAACCTGCGACTGGCTCCGGCGGCGCCACGGTTGTATGGGGTGGGCACGGTCGACCCGCGGTTGCAGGCGCTGGCACGGGCCTCGCTGGATGCGGATTGCCCCGAGGGGTATGCGCTGGAGCTGACCCATGGCGCGGTCGATGGCATCGAGCGCCTGTTGGCAGCATGGCTGCTGCCGGGTGATCGCATCGCGGTCGAAGATCCCTGTTTCCTCGGCAGCCTCAACGTACTCAACGCGGTAGGCCATGCGCCGTTGCCGGTGGCGGTGGATGCGCATGGCATGCAGGTTGAATCGCTACGTGCCGCGCTGGAGGCCGGCGCACGCGCGGTGCTGCTGACCCCGCGTGCGCACAATCCGACCGGGGCCAGCCTGGATGCGAAGCGCGCACGGGCACTGCGGCAGCTGCTTGCCCACTATCCGCAGGTGGCAGTGCTGATCGACGATCACTACGCGCTGCTCTCGCAGCAGGCCTACCATTCGGTGTTGCCGCTCGATGGCCGGCGCTGGGCGCTGTTGCGCTCGCTGTCCAAGCCGCTTGGCCCTGACCTTCGGCTGGCCTGGTTGGGCTGTGATGAGGAAACTGCGGCGCGGTTGCGGCTGCGGTTGGCATCGGGCACGGGCTGGGTCAGTCATCTTCTGCAGGACGCGGCCACCTCGGTGCTGGGCTCGGCGTCGCAGCGGGCGAAGATCGCGTCGGCAGGCGAGCGTTACCAGCAGCGCCTGCAGTCGCTGCAGGAATTGCTCGTTGCACGTGGCGTGGCGACGCCGCAGCCGATGGAAGGGCTGAACCTGTGGCTGCCCTTGCCGGCCGACAGTCATCCGCAGGTGCTGGCGCTGGCCGCGCGTGGCTGGCATGTGCGCGCGGGCGAAGTGTTCGCGGTGGCGGCGCCCGGGCATGGCCTGCGCATCACCTGCGCGGCGCTGGGGCCGGTGCAGCAGCGGCAGCTGGCCGATGATCTGGCGGCGGTGTCTGGACTGTAGAGTCGAGCTTGCTCGACTGCTCGTGCCAACAACAGTCGAGCAAGCTCGACTCTACAAAGGTGAAGCAAAGTCGAGCAAGCTCGACGCTACAAAAGCAGATCAGGGCGCGGCGTTGGCGCCCGGGCGCACGTAGTAGGACTGGCCGCTGTCATCGACGAACATCAGTTCAGGCTTTCCCTGCCAGGAGGTGAGCATGGCGCCGGTATTGTTCTGGTGCTTGACCATCAGGCTGGCGCCGCGGTCCGGGTTGGCCACCACCTTGAACACTTCAGTGGTGCCGGTGGCATCGTCCAGGGTCAGCAGGGCCTCGCCGCCGCGGTCGCTGGTGCCATAGCCACCGCGTTCGGAGCCGTCCGGGCCGAGCAGGATCAGGCCTGACAGGGCGGTCGCACGCGGCCCCTGGGTGCGACCCTGGCTGAGAGGATCGGGAACCGGTGCGCCGAGGATCACCCGTGGCTGTCCGCTTTCATCGTGGATGACCAGCCCGCGTGCTTCGATGATGCGCTGTGGCGATTGGCTGCGGTGCAGGCTCCAGGCGGTCCAGCCGGACACCAGCAGGGCGAGGGTGGCGACCACCAGCGTGGTCAGCAGCAGTGCACGGGGCATCGTGTCGTCCTTCCTTGGATGTGCCGACGATAGCGGATGCGGACCGGCAATGGCCAGTTCGTTGTGTGACGTTGTGTATCGTCAGTGGAAATCGCGGCTGTGGCTGCGCAGTCCCTGCAGTAGTTCATCCAGGCAGTGCATGCGCTGCACGATGACATGCTGCACGCCATCGACGCGCTCCAGGCGGCCATCGATCTGCATCAGCTGGGTATCAACCAGCACCCGGTGCTGGCGATCAGCGAGGTGCCGCCAGACCACCGCGTTGACCATGCCGGTTTCGTCCTCAAGGGTGAGGAAGGTCACGCCACTGGCGGTCTGCGGACGCTGGCGCATGCGTACCAGGCCGGCAATGCGCACGCGGCGGCCATGGCCGTGAGCCGCCAGTTGCGCGGCGTCCAGGCAGCCACGAGTGCGCAGCTGTGCGCGCAGGAACGAGATCGGATGGCGGCCAAGCGTGGTGCCGGTACTGCGGTAGTCGGCCTGCATGTCTTCCCAGGTGCTGGGCAGCGGCAACGGCACGCGGGCCTCGGCGGTGGCGCGGGCGTGGTCGAACAGCGGCAGCCGGTTTTCAACGCCGGAGATATCCCAGCGCGCACGATGGCGATGGCCGCTGAGCCCACGCAACGCGCCAGCATCGGCCAGCAGGCCCTGTTGGCGACGGTCCAGCGCGGTGCGCTGGCACAGGTCGCCCACGTCGTCGAAGGGGCGCCGCGCACGTTCTCGCATGATGGCCTGCACGGCGGGTTCGTTGCAGCCATCGACCAGGCGCAGGCCGAGCCGGATCGCGGCCGGTCCCTTGCTGAAATCCAGCGTGCAGTCCCAGTCGCTGTGGCGCACGTCCAGCGGCAGCACGCCGATGCCATGCCGGCGCGCGTCCTGCAGCAGCTGGTCGGGGCTGTAGAAGCCCAGTGGCTGGCTGTTGATCAGGCTGGCGGTGAACGCGGCCGGGTGGTGGCACTTCAGCCAGCAGCTGGCATAGGTCAGCAGGGCGAAGCTGGCGGCGTGGCTTTCCGGAAAGCCGTAATCGCCGAAGCCCTTGATCTGCTCGAACAGGTGTTCGCCGTATTCGCGGCTGAAGCCGTTCTTCAACATCCCCGCCAGCAGCTTCTCGCGATGCGGCTCCAGCCCGCCACGGCGCTTCCACGCGGCCATCGAGCGGCAGTACTCTGCGTTGATACCACTGCTT